CATCCTCCGATTCCCTGCCCCAAGCCTCAGGCCTCCCCTCTCTGGGTTACCTCAGCATCCTCCCGTATCCATCCTCAGCATCCTCCCGTATCCATCCTCAGCATCCTCCCGTATCCGTCCTCCCATTCATTTCTGGCTCCACCTTCTTTTCAGCTGACTTACACGTTGGAAGGTACCTGTAACGGTGCTTTATACCACAAAACCGAAGTCAAACACAATCACACTCCTTAAATATTGTTGAAACCGAGCACCTAAGAAGACACAGGAAGAAGAATTTCATTTTCCATATTATGCAAAAGCAGTTTGTGTGTATAGTTACTCCTCTACATACAGGTTTTCCCCTGACAGGTGGTAATCCGATAAATCCTAAATGAAGCGGCCACCCCGTAAGGTAGCTAGTCATTTTAAGGTCGTAGAAATATTTAGGAATGAGTATTTGTCCTGTCTGCCCCTATCAGGCCCAGCGACTTGGGAAAAGTCTAGTTCCATCTTCTAGGTAAGTTGACAGCATCTAAAGGCAGCTGAGCTTTCGGTAAAAAGAAAAGGCCATGTCCAATCAGAATGTTTGGTTTCTCGGGAATTCCTTGGCAGTCTAGTGATTAGGACTCTGCACTTCCACTGCAGGGGACGTAGGTTTGATCCCTGGTCGGGGAACTAAGATCCCGCATGCTGAGTGGCGTCGCCAACAAAAGAAAAAAAAAAGGGCTTCCCTGGGGCGCAGTGGTTGAGAGTCCGCCTGCCGATGCAGGGGACACGGGTTCGTGCCCCGGTCCGGGAAGATCCCACATGCCGCGGAGCGGCTGGGCCCGTGAGCCATGGCCGCTGAGCCTGCGCGTCCGGAGCCTGTGCTCCGTAACGGGAGAGGCCACAGCAGTAAGAGGCCCGCGTACCGCAAAAAAAAAAAAAAGGTTTCTCAAACTGAAAAACAGTTATTAGGTATTAGCATGCTGGTAATTGCACTCAAACATCTCTGCTTTCTTTTGAGGATAGATCGGCCCGGCCTTCTAAACGTGGGACATATTGAAAAAATGCAGGAGGGTATCGTGCACGTGCTCAAACTTCACTTACAGAGCAACCATCCCGACGACGTCTTTCTCTTCCCAAAACTCCTGCAAAAGATGGCAGATCTGCGGCAGCTGGTCACGGAGCATGCGCAACTGGTGCAGGTAATCAAGAAGACAGAGTCCGACGCCGCCCTGCACCCGCTGCTGCAGGAAATTTACAGGGATATGTACTGATTTCTTGGAAATGCACACAAAAAAAGAAACGTTTCAAGCGTTTTTAAAGGCGACAGCACTACAAGTGAGAGATGGGAGCAACGCAACTTTGCACAAATGTCACCATTTGAACCTGGGACAAAGGAAAGTATAAGCTCTAGGTAACCGGAATCCTGTTCCATGTTTCTTTCTTTTTTTAACCACTGCTTCAAGAAATGCTGGTGATAAACAGCTATTAGTCAGGACTTGGAAAATTATGCAGAATGGTGTTCAGTGGTCTGATTTAATGCACCCGATGTGAATCAATGCAGATTTCTTTGTCACCTTAGGAATTTACTGGTGAATTAACCTCAAAATACGTGGTCTGTCTTCCCTTTGCACCACGTTTTGACTGTTGTGCTCCTTTATAATTTTGAAAACTAATCAGCACTTTTTAATTTTTATAATCCTGTAAACCTAGATGTCTCCAAAGGTTAGGTATTTAAAAAGTTTCCTGAATTTGAAGAAAGACAACATGCCGGTTTTGAATCGTAGGATTTAGAATGTCAAAGAATGATTCGATAAGCTATCAAAATGCAGCAATTGTTTTGTTTCAGTTCGCTGTTTTCATGGTGTAACTAATATGTGAAAAAGCCTGTTCCCAGGTTTGTGTAGAAGATCCCGGAAAGCCACGTCTCACGGGCCCTCTGGACTCGATCCTCCGCCTGTTTAAAGCTAGTGTCTGTGGTCAGCAGGAACAAGACAGACTCTGAAGCATGTCAGCTTCCCATTCCTCTCACCTCCATTTCCGATCAAATCTGAACCAACTGACTCAGGCTGTTTGGGGGCCATGGTCACGTCTCCAGGGGCAAAGTGACAAGTTATTTGTAAATCTTGCGCTGGGCCCCCTCTGTCAAGGCAGCTCCTTGGTCTTTTTCTGTGTTGCTTTTTTAAACATGCGGCTTAATTTTTATAACTCTTGCTGTGGTAGCTGCTCCCTGGAGTGGAGAAGACGAGGCACAGGTGACTTTATCCTGTGGCCTGGGGGCAGGGGTCTCATCTGGAGAATGAACGGGCCAGGCCGGGGCGGGGGGCGGGTGTGGGGTGGATACGAAATGGTGGTTGTACTCATCTCAGGATGCACAACAGGCTGGTGGTTTTTACAAAGATTTTGAGAGTTGTTCCCTTTTCCAACTACATATGTGAGGTAGTTTTGCCATTATCTGCAATATCTGTTTCAGCCTTAAAGATCAACTTTTCAACCTTGGTCCAGTTAGGAAGGCGGTATGGAATATGGTTTTCGTCTAGAGCACACGGACCTGGAAATCCTCTTTTTCTGTCCACCATGGTAGATGAATGGTCCCATCAGGGAACTTTCAGCAGTGCCTCCCCCGAGCCAGACTGGGCTGATCCTGCCAGTTCAGCCCCCGGATGCCTCTTGGGCGACAGCATTTACGACCTGGTTGTACCCTGGGTGCCCCTCCCCCTCTATCTTTAGGAAATTTGGTTCTATAAGGTCATTATTATTTGCCGTTAAAGAATGGCTAGGATTGAATTTGATAAAGTTCCCAAGATCAGCATTATTGTAAATAAAACTGTGAGACTTCAACTAGAGAAAAGCAAAACTTACAATTAGGACATCCTTTTACACATTACACGTTTAGTGGTGTGTTTTATCTTTATTTCTTTTAAAGATCCAATCAGAGGATCTGCTGGAAGCAAATCAAAGCATTTCCACTTCAGAATGACACCAATCAGGGGTTGCCCTAAGTCAGAAAGGAGTTAAGCTCTGAGTCACAGGGTGCATCCGTGTCCCCATTCTTTCCTCAAATGCGAACTCCCTGGGCTGATGAGCCTGGAGGCCTGTGGCTTGTCCAAGGTCTCGGGGCAGGATCCCGGTGCCAGGCGTATGTGGCCTCTTGCTCTGGTGTCTTGGGACAGATCTATTCAAAGGGACACAGCGTCGGAAAGTGAGCCTTGAGACTCAGGCTTTTGGAAGGGTTGTCTGTTCTGTTTAGCTTCTCATACAGCCTGTCTGAAAGAGCTCCTAGCTCACGCGCGCCACGGGAGCAAGCTGATGGCGGGCGCAGGTTCCGCATCAGCGGCGTTAGTGAGCATCTGGTCCCCTTGGGGCCCAGCTAGACCACCAGCAATGCCCCTGGCGAAGCCACAGAGGACCTCAGCTTGAAAGCCACTTGACACTGTTCACTTGTTAATAGGAAGAAATTCATCTGAAATAACAGAGTCACTAATTGCTACTCTGAGTATTTGTGGTCCCCTAGTCAAAGATTTCTCCAAGCACTGAGTCAAATATAGACGAATCATTCACCAGTTCAATATATGGTCGTTTTTCGAACAGTAGCTATTTAAAGAGCACACTCTGGCTTGCTAGGTTTCAGTAGACGTCAGCATGAGGTCCAGTGGAAGCAGGTTCCGGAAGCTTCAGACCACAAGCGTGGAGCTGGCAGCCCGGGATGCTGGATGCGGAACCTGGCAGGACCCCCTTTCACCACCTTGACCCACTCTTCAAGCCACTGTTTAAACCTGGTTCTTCCTTTCCTCGACTTGTCATCACAGGAAGTGCCAGACTCCTCAGAGACCACAGATTACCAGGCAGCCTTTGTCTGGGAAGCGGGGACCATGGGGCTCCTCCAGGACACCCTGCTGCCGTCCTGCCAACACGCCTCCTCTCTGCCTCCTGGGCATTTCCAGTTGGGGGTCCCACGCCCCGCCTTCTGCCCCTGCCACCCTGTGAGAAGCCTGAGGGCTTCACATGCAGGACGCCACCGCCCTGACGGCCAGCATTGTCAGAAACAGGGCGCCCCGGCCGTCAGAGGAGCACTTTGACTACTGTCAGAGCACCGGAGCCCTTCCTGCTGCCCGCCCGGCCTCCGGTTTCCCTGTGACCTTTCTACAGCTCCCCGCTGAGAAGTGTTTCAAGCATCTTCCCAAAGAGGATACATGCACAGGGGTAAACAGTGAATGTGAATGGAGGGGAAAGAATTTCAGAATTCCAGAATGTCCGTGAGAGCTGTCCCTGTTAAAGGGAGTCCTTCCTTCTACTTTAAGAGCACAGAACGCACCTTTCCACGGTACTGATGCGTTTCCTACACTGGGCCACATGAAACTCTAAGGAAACAGACGACCTTGAGGACAGTGGACGTTCCAGCAAAGGGCAGCAGCCTAAGATCTGAGCAGAAGCTCAAGGCCCACGTAAGATCCTTTGTTTGATACATGGTGATAAGTACTATTAATTGAGCAACTACTGTTTTCCCAAACCTACAGCATGACAGCTACCTCAATAGAGCTATCAAAAGATACTGTTAAAATTAAGGTCCACGTAACACTGGGCCTTTTGGTGCAGCTCTAGGCAGACCATCTATTGTTAGGGCTCAGAGGCTGGATGCTCACCTTTGCTGTGTGCACACTGAGAAATGGAAGGTTTTGTGGAGTTTTAAGGGAATTTTATTGTTTAAAGGGAGCCTTGGGAATTCCCTGGTGGTCCAGTGGTTAGGACTCCACCCTTTCACTGCCGAGGGCCCAGGTGACCTGCTCACCCAGGGCCGCCTCCTCTTGAGCTGTGCCTGCTGGCCACGCGTGAGCCTGTTCATGGGGGAGATCCTGGCAGATAAGGGTGGAGAGATGCCTCCGTGCAAGCCTTAGTCACACCGTGGCTTCACGAGGCCTCGCCACGCCCCAGCCCCCCCTGTGCCCCTCTGTGCCCGACTCCTTTTCAAGCCACTGTGACACTGGGCACGTTTGACACCTGGTGGCCAGATGCACGATGGAGGGTTTTTGGTTTTTTGTTTTTGTCTTGACCCAATAACCACACCTGTCTCTGGAATGTCTTAAAAAGTCCTGTTTAAATATAAGTCCATTGTTTCAACCAGGGAGTCCGGCGCTCCCAGCTAAGACCAACTTGATCACCGGCATGGCCTTTTATGGGGGCTTCCAGGGACCGGGGGAAAACCAGCCACCTTCAAGTGCCTCTTCCACCCGTGTGGCCTTTCAAAGCGCAGATCCCAGGAGGAAGACTGTGCCAGGTGCTCACGGCTCCCCACCTGCGCTGTCGATGCAAGTTCCTGCCGTCGCCTCCAATCCTCAGCCCCGTCTTCAAGTGGAAAACACCAGCTTGGACGAAGGGCCGCCTGGCGGTGCAGGGTTAGGCCCAGGGGTGGCCTGCTTCCCGCACTTCCCGCCCCTGCATTTAAGACGGGCAAGGTTGCGGCGAGGCGCTCCCTGTGAGTTAGCCCGGTGCCTGGGCTGCACGTGTTCCTGGAGGGGTCACTTGTTCTTAGGTTCACAACAGTGGTGTTGACTCAGGAGATGCGAGGAAATTGTACTGTCCATAGAAGTTGCAAACTAAGACCGATGCCACCAGCGGGGGGCTCAGCGATTATTAAAAAGTGTCCAGGGAGGATTTTCGCCACACTCACGGTTCCCACGGTGTTTGTGGTGTGGGCACTGGACGGTTCCAGAGACAGACTGTCTGTATTTATTCTTCTCATCTTGTAAGCGGCCCAGCTTCTCTTAAGTGTTGGTCCAAGCTGATTTACGGGGCTCCCCCGGGATTGTGGGTTCTTACCAACCAAGAGCTGGTATGGAGCTGCATGGAGCTGTCAGCTAAGGGGACTCTTGCCTTCCTGACAGCAGTGACTTCCAGGCGGCACAGCAGGAAGGCTCCGCAGACAGCTCGGCTGGGAGGAGCGAACGAAGGGCCGAAGGGCCATGACAGTGACTGCTGACAGCGTCCCCACCCCCGCTAACTGGGCGCTTTCCTCCTCCTCAGTGCAAGGACTTTTCCGGTGGCGTGTTCTCCTCTAGGGACCTTCTGCCCAGAAAGATCTAAGGTTAGGCTCCAAAGGTTGAGGTCTAAAAGTTTTTGCTGAGATTTGTATCTATTTTTAGGTGCCATTTTAATACCATTCAGGAAAATGGTCGTGGACCCTCAGCCCGTGAAACACACGGGAGAGACAGCAAAGGACTCAGAACACAGGAGGCCCGTCCTACTTCTGTGGAAACTACGGGACAAACTGAAATGTGATAGTGGAAGTTCTGCAAGGAAAAGACTAAGACAACGCGTCTCCACACTTTCACTTAAAGTATTATGTAACGCTCTGCACAATGCTGTGTCTGTGGAACGCGGCAGGTCCTTAACCTTATCTCAGCAGAGTGGGCTGCTGCGGGTGTGGCTGCTTGTTAGGGCAGAGAGTGAGAAGCCGCCGCCCAGGGCTCATTTCCAGACGCCCTTTCCCGGCTCGAGGCACCCGGACTCCTCAGATCTAGAGGGGGGCTCTCGACAGACCATCTGCTTCTCAGAATTTCAGTCTGAGATAAGAGAAGTGTAACCGTTTACTTCCACCCCCCTGAGAAAGGGGGGCCATATACCGTGGTCCAAGGGGAACACATGCGGTCACATCCTTCTGGAATCCTTTGCCACATAGAAGACCACACTGCATCCACGTCAACGTCACCTCTTGACTACAGCAACTGGTAAACATCAAGGACCTCAGGCCCCGTGGCTGTTAAATGCATTACATGAAAAAAATCAAAGAAATAGCAATTTTTTACATCACAAATAGCAAATTAAGACCTGGGTCAGGTATTTTTCATTTAAAATGTGTTTGCTAGTTTGGGTGGAATGTGAAAAGCTTCCATGTTTTTCCCCCGCTGAAGGTAATACACCAGCCTCCTCCTCTCTTGCCCTTCTCCCCCCGCTGTCACCCTCAGCATCTAAAATTCATTAAGTGATGAACATTACAGCGTCATGGCAGCCGGAGCGCAGACAAGCTCCCCAGGTGAGCCCTGGCTCCCCCGACAAGGGGTGGGGGCCGCTGAGCCTCCAGGCCCTGAACACAAGTGAGTGGCTCATCTTTTCAAGGTCAAATCATTCACTTTGGGCAAATGTCTTCTCTTTTTAAAGGCACAGGCGGTCTGGTCCTTTTTTCAGGCCTGAAAAAAAATGTACCTCACACGAGATGGATACCACTCAGTGCAGTTTTTGGTAAAATTACAGTATTCGGGTTCGAGTATCACTATTTTTTCTACACTGTATGGTAAAAAAAGAACTATGTTAATAGCTATATCTTAAATACTGTGATTTGAGGGTTTTTAAAAAAAATCCTAATGTAAATATTTTACTCACAATCACGCATCTAATAGCAAACATTGGGATTCTTCTGCAATCAGTGTTAACTGACGTATACTCTCACTAGCCTGGCTCTCGGACGTGTTGGAAACACACAGGAAGCTGAAATATCACAACTGAAATACAAGCGCACGCACGCACACACACACATCAGAGCTCTCCTTCTCTCCTGAGCCATGTGGAATTCACTTCCCTGTAAACCTGTTCCCTTCCTCATGCTTCCTCACACACGAATGAGTCTGTTCTATCATTTCTACCACCAAGGCTGCCTCTGACCCAGGTCAGAAGTCACCGATTTCACACAGGAGGATCCCGCTGGAGACCATGAACTATTCCTGTGTAGTAAGTAGCTGTCTGTTCTTCAGGGAATTACTACCTGTGGGTTGTTACCAAAGAACTTTGCAATTTGCAAGATGCTGATGGCAGTGACTGGCAACGGCTGGGTCTCTGCCAGCCTCCAGAGCCCAACCCGGAGTATAAAGCGGAAGCCACAGAGCCCGTGAGCCTCCCACACGATGTTTTCCATACCTTGGCAGATTTCTTCCTGATGGGGATCTGTACCGCCCCCGGGACCCACAGGGCCGTCACATCCAAACCCAGGGGGAGCCTTTGCCAGACGCACGGCAGAGTGGTGCAGGTTCCCAAAGCCAGGGCTGAGCTCGAGTCCTTGGCGTGTGTTTATCGTTACTGTTCTTGGGTGCCTTATACTCTCAAAGTATTTAGGGGCTGACAGACCCTTTGTGTTTTATACTAAACAGGAGCGATTCCAAAGCAGATCTTTTCTGAGCAGGCTCTGACGCCCTCTCTCCAGCCCAGACCCTCTGGGTGTGATTGGCGGGGAATCCGGGGCCGCAGGCAGCCAGGGTGTGCAGAGGAGAGCAAATGGAATCTTAGTCACTTTACTGGCAGTGGTTCCAGGCAATTAGAAAATGGCTATAAAATAACTTTAATTTTTGTTTAATTTTGGGTCTTACTCATTTTCCCTTTAGGAGATTGAACTGATCGTATATATTGATTTCTATCCTGAATTTACGGGAACTTATATGTTTGGAATGTCCTACTGTAAGACTGATGAATGTAAAGAGTTAATTTCAGGGTACAGTTTTGCCTTAATGGTTTTAAAAAATAAACTATTTTTAAAAATTACCTGGCGAGTTTTCAGTGATGCTATGAGATGAACTGTATTGTTTGGTCTGAAGAAAACCGATCCCCAGCTGTAGGGTCTGCCCTTAACCCAGAACAGTCCCCCAGCCCCAGAGCTGACGTGGTCTCTACCTGTAGAGTCCAGTGACAGAGCGGACCTGGGACAACGCGGCCCCAGAAGACAAAACCCAGCACAAACGTCGGTCAGTAAAAGCCCTTTATTCATATTCTCATCAAACACGTTTCTAACACCCTCCAGGCAGTGTGCGCTGGTCCTGCGGAAACTACAGAATCGCACAGAGCAGTTCCTGCCCTCTAAGAACTGGCAGGCACATGGTGAGCCCACAATCAGTGTCTCACCAATTGCTAAGGTGGGCGCCGTGAGGGCAGGGGTGCTGCGGTCTTCGGAGCACCGGGGTCTGGGGTCTGCCTTTTGGGCGCCCTCTCTGCGTGGCTCCTGGCCCTGTTGCTGCTGCAGGCGGACCCCAGCTCCCTCTGGCTGCAGACACGGCTCCCGATGGCCCAGAAACAAGGTCGGTGACAGCGGCTCCCAGCTTGGCCCCATCTCCGAGCCAGGCCACAGAAGCCCACTGGCCAGGAGCCCCGTGCAGCACACTGCTGCAGGCCTGGTACCCGACTGGACTCATGTTCGAGAACCAGGCTGGCTGGCAGGCCTCTTGGATGGGACTTTCCTTTTCTCCAAGTCTTGCTGAATTTCCTGAGGGAAAGCATCAATGTTCTCCCGGACACAGGGGAGGCAAAATCTCTTGGAGTAGAATAAACTGCAGTCCTGAAAGAAGAGGGGGACGGAGGAGCCTGCGTGCCATGGGATGCACACTGCAGCGTCCCCCAGAGCCTCCGAGAATCCCTCTTCCTCAGACCCCAATGAGACCCTCTAACTGACCCCAGCTTGCCTGTCCCCTACCCCTCTGCTGGCTGCAGGGACCCACCCATAATGCAGCAGACCAGCTGCGTGACTGTGAGGGCTCCCAGGACCACCAAGGCCAGGAAAGGCTGCTGCTCACACGGTCCCTGGGAAAGGCTCACGTGTCACCTCTCTCACAGTCACTCACGTGAGGTCCCAGCCACAGGGAGAGAGGGAAAGCGGCCCCGGCTGCACGTGGCTTACCCACCGGGCCCACGCACACCAGCCTGCCACATACGCTGCATCTCGAGCCGAGGATCAGGAATCTGTCCTTGTTGGGGGTGAAGGGGTCCCTCATGACGTAGCTCTCCTCCAGGAGGCTGCGGGACAGGAAGTGGTGCCGGTGGGCAGAATGGCCCAAACCTCTGCTGACGAAAGGTAGCCGGCTGCACGGACCTCCCCGGGGCCTGCTCGCCGTGCGAGCTCATCGCGGGGAGGGGTGGCCCCCAGTGCCACCAAGTAGTAGCAGAGAGGCGAGCAGTGGCGCCCGGCTGGGATGAAATGAGACCTGCTCCGGGCTCCGTGTCGACCGCAGGGAAAGAACCACTCCTCCTCGGCCCCAAGAAGGGCTGCTGCAACTCAGCCCCCAGACCCCAGCCTGACTCAGCAGGGCGGCGGGCGGGCACAAGGCCTCCATGCGAGCTCTCCAAGCCCTCCCCTCACCTCCGGGATGACACCCGCTCCCAAACTGCCTGCTTCCACACAGGGAGAACAGGGCGCTTTACACTGGCTAAGGTTCTGGCCTCACAGCGCACATCAGAAAGGAGACAGACAGGATAGGATCCGAGGCGACACCCCAGGTTCCTCCAGCCTGGCCCCCCCGGTCCCACGTAATGTAGTGGCCAGATCCCCACAAGGTGGCCTCTGATGGAGGACAAGTTGAAGGTCAAGAATCAAGCCCCGGGACCCACTGGCGCTACTCTGGGCCATCCGTGGGCAGGTGCACAGGAAGCTGGTCCTCAGGGCTCACTCCCACCAGTACAAGAGCCGCAAGGCGGGCAGCTTCCCGCTGAGGTGTCATCGTAGGAACCAGCGGGACCAGTGACAAGGCCCAGCCCCAGACGCGATGGCCTCTGCGGCTCCCTGCGTTCCCAGCTGCTGAGCTGTTTCAGCCTGAGCCACGGTGCTTCCACCCTGCAGCCAGAGCAGGTGCTGGACTCTGGGCTGAGCAGGGACGTAGGGACTTGGAGGTTCTAGGAGAGCCGGATGGCGTCGAACCTTGCCCTATGCCTTCTTGGGTCACACCTGAAGTGCCCAGAGCCTGGGCCGGGTGGCCCCAGACACAACACCCAAGCCCCGTGTCAGACTTAGGCCAGCCAGCTCTGGGCGGGCTCCCTGGGGTGCTGGGACCCTGGTACTCACGCGACAGACTGGGCGCCGGGGGGCTGCTGCCCCACGTAGCTATACGGAGCAGTTAAGGCACAGAGCTGGCACTCAAACACACCCAAGGGGCGGCGCTCCGCCTCACACTCCATCTGCAAGGTCAAAAGACAGGGCATGTCGCCTACAGGACCAAGAGCTACCCACACCTCAAAGCTCCCCACTGCCTGCTTCTTACCCACAGGTGAGAAGGGCAGCGTACAGACAAGGCACCTCAAGTTCAGAGTAAGTGACGAGACCTGCTCAAGGTCACACGTTCTTTTCAAGCGCACTTGAGCTATTCACCAAGATAGACTATATTCTGGGCCATAAAATGAGCCTCAAGCTTTAAAAGCCTGAAATCATAGAGTACATGCTCCAACCCCATAATAATTAAAATCAGTAACAAAGAGATACATGGAAAATCTCCAAATATTTGGAAATTAAATGATATACTTCCAAATAAACCATAATTCAAAGAAGAAATCACAAGAGAAATTAGAAAATATTTTGAACTAAATGAAAACTAAAATACAAAATACATAGAATGCAGCTTAAGCAGTGTTTACAGGGACATTCACTGTTTTAAATGCTTAAATTGGAAAAGAGGGTTTAAAGTAAGTCATCTAACTTTCCACCTTAAGAAGCTAGAAAAATGCAAATTAAACTCAACATAAACAGAAAGAAGAAAATAATAAATAACACAAATCAAAGAAACAGAAAATGGGCAAACAATAGGGAAAAAAAAACGATAAAACCAAAGCTGGTCATTTCAAAATGTCAATAAAGTTGACAACCTCTAATTAGATTGATCAAGAAAAACAGGAAGAAGATACAAATTACCACAATGAGGAATGAAACAGGGGACATCACTAAGACTACAGACATTAAAAGGATAATAAAGGAATGCAGTGACCTTTTCTACCAAATAAATCTGACAGTTTAGATGAAATGGACATATCTCTTGAAAAAACACCATTTATCAGAACTGACTCAAAACAGAAAACCTGAATAGCCCTTTATCTATTAAGAAAACTGAATTCATAATTTAAAATTTTCCTTTAAAATGAAATAGTACAAAAACAAACAAAAAGAACAACAACAAAAAGAAACAGAACACCAGCAAAACTTCATGCCCAGATGTCTTTACCAGCAAATTGTCAAGCATTTAAGGAAGAAGTAATACCAACCTACAGAAACTGTTTCAGAATACAGAGAAAGGAACACTTCCCAAGTGATTTTGAGGCCTATATTACATGGACACCAAAACTGCCAGTATTACCCTGATACCATTCATCAGACAAGGCTACTACAGGAAAACTACAGAGTAATACCCTTCACAAGCAAATATCTTCAGCAAAATATTAGCAAACTGAATTCAATAATACATAAGAAGCCTAGGGCGTCACGACAGAGCGGATTCAACCCAGGAAGGCAATGTTGGCTCAACATTCGAAAACCAGTGAATGCCAACTCATGAGAGTAACTGAATAAAGGAAGAAAAACCACACCATCATTTCAATAGACGCATAAAAAAGCATGACAAAATTCAAGGCTCTGGGCGGTGCTTCAGAGCCAAGGGGCTCCCCACCTGACTACAGAATAAATTCCCTTCCTTGGCATTTAAGGCCTCTTTAACTTGGGACTTATCTCCCAGTGACTCTGCCGTCCAGCCCCCACCCCTCCATACAGCAGGCTGCAGTTCAAGTGGCTCCATCACTGTCCTGCACTTTCACACACACACACACACACACACACACACACACACCCGTGTCCCGGCCTTCGCTCCTGCTGTTCCTGCCACCTGGAGGGTTTCCCCCAACGTCTCTACCTATGGAATTGCCCTCTGGCTGCCCTGAAGATTTTCTGTTCACCTTTGGCTTTCGACAGTTTGACTATACAACTACTTTTTTTTTTCCTTTTAAACCTATTTATCCTGCTTGTGCTGCTTTAAGCATTTTGATCTGTGGTTTAGTATCTTCCATTACTTTTGGAAAATCCTTAACCATTACCCTTCAAATATTTCTTCTGCCCCATTCTTTCTTGTCTCCCGCTGAGGTTCCAACCGCAAATACGTTAAACTTTGATGTTGTCCCGCGGTTCTTGGACCCTTTGCTCTGGGTTTGTTTTTTTCTACTCTTTTCTCTCTGTGTTTCAGTTTGGGTCATTTCTACTGCCCTGTCATCAAGTTCATTGATTTTCCCTTGGTTATGTCGAATCAGCCGACGTGCACTCGGAAGGCTCCGCGGCGCCGCGCAGTCCGGGAGGGACCGGGGATGAGCCGGGGCGCAGGCTCCGCGGCCCGCCCCCAGCGCCGCGGGAGGCCGCTCGGAACCCCGCAGGGCTCCGCGGAGGCGCCCAGGCCGAGCCGGACGCACGAGACGCACCGGGAGGGACCCGGGCGCGGCCGCACAGGTCCCCGTCAAGCCGCCAGGCCGCGCCACTCACCACTACCGCCGCCGCCGCCGCGCCGCCACGCCGCCGAGCCCACGACGCGTGCGCGGTGAGTCGCGGGGAGGGGCCTCGTGGCGGACTTCCGCCTCGGCCTCCGTCTAGCTGCGGCTTCCCGTACCCGATCTCTCGGGATTGGCAGCGGCTGGGCAGCACCTGGATATCTCACGCCGACGTGGCCTGATGTCCTGGCTGCTCCAAGACTCTCAGCTTCTTTCTGGGTTTCCCACCGGGCTCCACAGAGTCGGTGCCGCCGGTGCGCGACCCA